CAGTCCTCTAATTAGTAATCTAATTAGGAAGTTGCAGCGAAAACCCGCATACACACCGGCCCTTTGCGGATAAGATTGGGTACCCCTGATTTAAGACAATGGACTATACTGAAGTGCAGTAGCGGCGTGTGACCACAGAAATAGTTGGGGCGCATGGACATTTTCATATTTTACGTTAACTATTTATGAACTCTATATTTTGCTATCATGGTCATTTCTCTAATCAGGAAAGACAAATTATTATTATTGGTAACATTTTATTTGACAGGGTACAAATATTTAGTAATAACTCCATTACTTAGTGAAGAACAAATCATGAACAAATATAGTTGCTACTTGAGAAAAAATGCGTCACGATTCATTAATGGTGAACAAACATGGGATCAGCATTTCACTTGTGTTATTCATTACTTGTTCCCTTAGTAGTTCACAAAGGTTTACGGAATTAACAAATGTAGTAACAAATATAGTAACTGCTTGGGATGAAAGATGCATCATGATTAATTAATTATGAACAAATATGAGATAAGTATCTCACTTGTGTTATTCATGACTTGTTCCTTCAGTACCTTCAGCAGTCTGGTTCCTCCCAAGGTTTCTTCCTTCTAGGGAGCTTTTCCTTGCCAATGTCGCCTATGTGGTTGCTCACTGGGGGCTTTGGGCAGGATCATGTAAAGCACTTTGAGGCAATGTAATGTTCTGTAAATGCGCTATACAAATAAAATTGAATTGAATAGTGAGCTTCCTAGCCAACAGTAATGCTAGCTGCAAACTAACTAAGAGTTATCTAAACCACTACTAGCAAAGATCCTTATTCAATGCAACATTACGGCAAACTACAGCAACAAAAGGTACATTTTAATAAGAAGGAGCCTTAATCAGAATAAGGTAACATTCCTGCACCACATTCACAGACGACTGCAAATGCTCCACGGAAGAATATCTGATAGGATTTGCAGGTTCAGATGCCGCAGGCTAAAGTTGACCAATTGGGTGGATAGAGCAGAAATTAGGGTGGGCATTTCCCTGGCCCTGCCCACTTCTAGATCCGGCCGCGACCAGCTGTCAGACTGACTATTTGCTAAACGGCTATGGTGGGGCGGATTAAGTCGTCACAGGATCCTAGGTAGACGAGATATTTTGGGTCTCCTCCCAACAACATGCTGCTTATTTATGTTAGCATATCATGTAGGAGACAACCAGACAGTATACTATTACTAACTTAGTAATATGATCACCCACACACACACACACACACACACACACACACACACATATATATATATATATACATATATATAATTATCTCATTTTCCCCTGGTATAAATTTTAATACTCACATTTAAATGGCTTTTCTCCTGAGTCTGGATTGGGTACAATGACTTAACATAGTTAAACAGTAGCCACTAGGAAAGATGAATAGAAGAATATAGATGAATATAGATCCAGATCATAGGTGTGTGTGTATTTGGGTATTTCCTATGGCTCCAGTCACACCCAGCTGTGGTCATACACAATATGGGCAACGGTATGTAGCCACCAGATGGCCCAACATCTCAGTCTGAATCTAAGGCCTGAAAAATGCTCCACCCTGTACTGCTGCAATAGCCTCTACTCTTCTGGGAAGACTGTCCTTTAGATGTTGGAAAATCCGCTGCCCTTCAGGTTGGGTATTGATGTTGGGTGACCGGGTGCCTTTCTGTGAGCTTGTGTTGCCGCCTTCGCAGCTGGACTCGCTCCTAGATGTTTCCACTTCGCAATCACTTCACTTGTGTTTGACCAGGCCGGCCATTCTGCTGCTAATGTTCGTTGCAGGATATCGCGTGACTGCGTGCTTAATCATATATATGTGACAAAAATGGGTGCAGTTTAATTAAGCAATATCTCTAATTAACAGGGGCACCCACACGGGGTATGAATAATTTTACGTAACTATACTTCTCTGCAAAAATGTATTTGGACGTCATAACCTTCGCTCGATGGACTTCTTAAATCTGGTTGTTCCTAAAGTAAGAACTAGGAAAGAAAGCCTTCAGGTTCTCAGCACCTTACTCATGGAACAGACTTCAGGTTGAACTCCGTTTGCACAATTTAATACCCCTCAAGGAATTTAAAACTCTTCTAAAGACTCTGGAATCGAGGTTATCTATATGTAATTGTAAATTCTAACTATGTTTTCTTTTCTTTCTTGTATCACTTTGTAAGACTCTGCATTGTCACTGTGTTGCTGCCACCTTGGCCAGGTCTCCCTTGCAAAAGAGATCTGTGATCTCAATGGGACAAACCTGGTTAATTAAAGGTTAAATAATAAAAAAAAAAAGTCACACCTAGTGTTATGCAGTAGCAGGATCTGCCACAAATGACCCAAAAAGGAAACTGTTCACCGAGAGAGAATATTTGTATTGAGTCTAACACTGGTAATAAACTAATGAGAAATAAAACCCCCCCACTTCTGTGATGTTGACGTGCATATCGCCGCCATGGTAACCTACCAGCACTGAGCTTTGTCCCACCCCTACAGTGAAGGACAACAACAATGTCAAGCACTTCAAAATCTACGAGGTTGGGGGAAGCTTTCATGTGGACAACATTCAGAGCTTCTCCAGTCTTGCGGAGCTGGTTGAATACTACAAGTCACACCCTCTGGCTTCCATCCAGGGGCTAAAGATTGCCTGTGCAAAGGTAAGTTCTAGAAACCAGCAGGGTGTTTGTGTGACACTGTTTACTGAGTAAGAAAATGATATGAAAGGTCTTCAGGTGGAGATTTGCGGATTAATGCGCGTTGGTACTGATGCCTTGTGTTCTATCATTCTTACTTGAGTTGTAATCTCCACTTCTTAATATACACTCTCATCATCATTCCATCACCATCAGTACCTAGGGGTGTGGGGGCTGCTACTTATTCAACCAATGAGGAACCTGCTGTTATTTAGAAGTCATAACTCCAGGTGTTATCTGAGGTAAAGGATCTGGTTTGGCATTGCAACTGCTTGCTTAAAAGCCTAAATATTTGAAGAGAACTTTATTTATCCTGAGTGGAAATTGTCCATAGAACCTGTCTACTGTTAGGGCAACCAGATGCTGGACAAATCGATAAGGCTGTCAACCAGAACTGCGTGCGAAGGGACGCACATGTCATTTTGTTGATGTTACTTGCTCTCAACAGATTCAGCCCCAACCTCAGGACCTCTCTCACTCCACGGTGGATGAATTTGAGCTCCCAAAAGAAGACTTCACTCTGGAAAAGCGATTGGGAAGTGGATATTTTGCGGACGTCTACCAGGGGACATGGAAGAATCGCACCAACGTCGCCATCAAAGTGCTGAAAAACGGTAACGTGCAGAACGTGTGTCCCGTCCGATAAGTGAGAATGGGACTCACTTGCTCGGGAAATGGTGACGGGGGACAGTCACACGGGTAACGTCGCTTGCTTGAGGAAAAGGCCTCAAGGAGTTTGCATTTCAGGTTTGGGAGGTTCTAGAGGAATGCTGAGAGGCTGCAAAAGTGTCCAGCTTAACCAAGATACCATAACCCTGCCTCTACTGGCTGTAGGTGCATGATTTTATATAAATTGAAAAATTCCTTGCACCTTGCAACACCTTAACGTAAAAAGCTTATTTGCTGTAAACGATAGACCTACTCAATGCCAATTTAATTATATCACTGTCTTTATTTAATTGTTAAATTAAATTCCATTGTTTTGTAAAGGTATATTCAGGGTTCATTCTTCTTATCAACATAAGGTCCTACCATGGTACTAACCTTTGCAATTTGATATCACACCATACAAAGTTTTCTGGTTGCCCTTTTTTCCCCACATCTGGTCCATATGATAACTTCCTGTAAGAATCTCAGAATGCATTTTTTAGTTAAACTTATATTACACTGCCTTTAAAACATGCTGTAGTTTTATGAATGGTTGTAATAAAAGAATGTAGTCCGTGTAGATAATTATGATTGTGAAAGATTCCGGCTTCATTTACTGTAAGTTTTCCTTTGAGCACAATGAAAAATGCTGCTTATCCCGTCCAGCCAGGCTACTGAGTAACGTGACAGACAGATACTTGAAGTCGCTGAAACTGTCACAGATGTCAATGAAACGTGTTGTAAACCATGCGGAATGCATTACAGCGTGTGCTTGTTCATTTGGAAAAGTATATACTTCATGCTTTATCTGAAAATGTTATCGGCTGTTCTTTGGGTCACTTTATCAGGATAGTATTTGAGTTTAATGCATCTGAATTTGATCCATGACTGTAAACCACGGCGTAATCGCTAAACTCTTGTCCTTGAAGGTAGGGTTACCTGGATCATTTCCTGTTCAGATGGATGTCTCCTCTCTATCTTAAAGTGTCTATGGGAAATGCAGTCATCTCCCCACCCCCTCCACACAAATCACACTTAGCTTGCTGGTTAGCAGAAGATGCAGCTGATTCAGTATATACTAAATAAGGAGTAGGTTTATTTAATATTTAGTGTAGTGGCTGTTTGTGACCAGCAGGGGGGGAAGCTCCATTAAACACATCACTAAGAGCTGGAAGGCTGATCTCCAGTTCCCATTAATGCTTAAAGTATATTTTCTTCCATGCTTCTTTTGGCTGCTATTGGCACTTCCCTCATACAGCACACATGGCTCTGAGTGTGTGTCCGTTTGTGTTTAATTTGTATTTGATCTCATTGTGCTCAGAGGACCTGGATCAGCGGGAGGTGCAGCTGGAGATCCAGATGCTGAAGAGATACCGTCACAAGCACCTGATCATGCTGTTCGCCTTCTGCTCCTCCACGCCACCATACTACATCATCACCGAGCTGATGGAGAAGGGGAACCTGAAGAGTTTCCTGCAAGGTCAGCATCTGCCGCCGTCACCATCCTGCAGAGCATGGACAGACCGTCGGTTTCACGGGCAAATGAGTCTTGGCTTCCGTCTTTGAACTTTTCAGTTACCGAAAGTGCTCCGCTATCTCTAATTTTTTCATCTTGCTTTAGTTGTGCACCATTTCATTTTAACATTTTCCATTGGTTAAGGATAATCATTAATAAAAGAGGATTCGCTTTATTGAATCTCACACTAATGAGACACACTAATTTAGCATGTCTTCCAATATCCAGCATAACCAAACCGGCAAACACATAAAAATATTACGGGATTCAAAAAACGATAAATGCGTAACGTGCCGATCTGGAAAGTTCTGTAATATTGCTGCAGTCCAGTTTCTCAATCTCAATGACTTCAGGCCAAGAGGGGAAGGTCCTGGACGGCAACACCCTCACTAACATGAGCATCCAGGTGGCTGACGGGATGGAGTTTCTGGAGTCTCAGCAGTGTATCCATCGGGACCTGGCCGCCCGCAACGTCCTGGTTGGAGAGAACTACATCTGTAAAGTGGCGGACTTTGGACTGGCTCGCTTCATAAAGGTAACAAGGCCCTGCTGTTTGATTTCCAAGTGTATATAATCCCTTGAGGACCTGGTCGGAGTCATGTTTCTGTTTGGTGAAATTAGGTTGTTTAGGGTCATAAATGCATATATTGTATCAAGTGCCTTTTTCAAGGCTTTTCTGTTGTTACTTGAAAAAGAAAATGTTTCCCAGCAATCTGTGTTATTACAGGTGAGCACCAAGTCATACAAATGTGCATGGGGTCAGAGGTCGAGGGCCAGAGGTCAGGTGTCACTGGCAGCTAGATGAAAGGGGCATCTAATGGTCAACATATGAAGAGATTTTTTTCCCAGTGCAGACCAAACAATGTTGATTGAAAGATTGTGTCAATATTGCCACTCTAGTGGATTTACGTAACTGACAGTTAAGGAGCGTTCGGGTCCTTAAGCTTCTGTATTTGACGGCCCCTGGGTCTGCTGTGACGCATTATGCTAACGCTTAACAGGGACTGATGAGGGCGCTGTTTGCCTTTGAATCAACCCAGTGAGTGGGGCACTGCCAACCATGGTATTATTCAATAAGAGAAACTTTTCCCAAAATAATTTCAGAAGTGCTTCACTTAAAGCAGTTAAAGGCCCTGCTGTCTTGCTTTGCTTATTACCATGCATGGCTGTAAAGACTTTGCACACTGACCCCTACTGGGGAGAGTAAAGCGCTGCATTCGCTGCAACGTTTCTGCAGGATACAGTTTACGTTACTGATGACAAGAGGATGCCCTACAAATGGTGTGCACCCGAAACCCTCAGCCACGGATGCTATTCCAGCAAGTCGGATGTGTGGTCTTACGGGGTCCTTCTCTACGAAATCTTTTCCTACGGAGGATTACCCTACCCAGGTACCCAGAAACCTAACCCTTACCTCTGTTTTCATGTATTACAACTGCGCGTTCACAACGTTCGGCTTTTCATTTCTGCATGTAAACTTGAATGTAAATTATCTGACAGATATACTGCAAAAGTGTATTGAAAAAATATATTCTGTCACATAGGCTATGGCAATGGTGAGATGCACAGCCTGCTCACAAATGGATACAGGATGCCTGCTCCCCCTGCCTGCCCAGACCGCATCTATAGCATCATGAAGTTGTGTTGGAGCACCGCACCAGAAAGCCGCCCCAGCTTCAAAGACCTGCACTGTGACCTGCTCCACATAAACGACTATGACCTGGAGTAAAGATGGACTGCTGTCTCAATAATGACCACAGGGTGGCAGCAATGAGCCAAGCCAGGAACACATAGGATGCTTCCCAGTGTAGTCAGTGTTTTGTGTCTGTCTATTTTTCTTTCTTACCTGCATTTTAAACGCGCTCTCATGGTTCCTGTTAAGGGATACATCCAGCACCAAGTTACTGATGGTCTTTTTCCTTTAACTCATCATTAGATGCTGGTGTTCAGCTGCTGTTAGGGTTGCAAAATTCTAGGAATATTCTTGTTAATTCCCATACTTTCCCGTTAATTCCCATGGAAAGTTTCTAATGTGGAATATTTCCAAAATTCCCCAGCTTAACTTCCCATGGAATGGAAAGTTTCAGGAAAATTTCCAGAAATTTTCCAGCCCTTTGCAACCCTAGCTGCTGTTCAGCACAGTTTGTCCTCAGTTGGGTTAAGCATTAATTTAAAGCCAATGTCGGTTTTTCATGCTTCCTGACAAAGTTCAGGTTCCATATTTTGATAGGGTAGCTGGGCCCCTCCTGGGTCTCAAACCAGCAACCAAGGGTGTGACTAACCAGGTTAGGTTGCTGCGTGTGGAGTCGGAAGGTTGCTCGTTCAAATCTCAGGGTTGATAGTGATTTAATTGTTGATTCAAAGAACAACTCCCTTAAGCAACATTACTCCGGCCTTGCTTTCTCAAAGATGTTTTTAGATTAGTGTCTGCTAAATCGATGTATGCTTTAACTGATATGCTGTATCTTAAAAAAAGGTAATTATTCTTGTAATATGTGCAGTTGTTTACAGCCAACATGAATGAAGTTTACATTTAATGAGGTAGATCTGCGTCTGATGCTAATAGGGCTTCCCATGATGGAAGATACCCGACCAATATTCATAAGTACATTGATACTTTTTTACCTATATTCTTCTGGATGAATCATGCAGTCAGGGCAGTATGCTGCCCGATCACAAGAATCAAAAATATTTACTATAACTTTTTTTCCCCAGCAGTTCATAATATAAATGTAAGACTGTGAATAATATGAATGTATGAATATTTATGAGAGCTGTGCATAAAGCACAAGCCCCCTAACTGGTTTATTGCTGAGAAATCACTGTTTTACGCAGGTTCAGTAGTGCAAGACACCATGGATTAAACATTTCATTGGGTTCTGTGCTGCAATAAGATTCCTTACATTATTTTAATGGTACTTTTTTTTTACAATTAATTTTGTAATATGTATGGCAAAAAAGTGTTTTGATTTGTTTGTTAAAAAGACTAATTTTGTAATCCATGTAAATTTCTATTTTTATGTTGAAGTAAAACCAAAAAGTATTAAAATAAGCAAATACGTTTGTAAGGGTGGATTGTTATTATGTAAATAAGTATGTAAATGTAATTCTCAGAAAATACAAATGACTTGGTTGCCATAAGTAAACCTTTAGTATTATCTCAACTGAAACATCCGATTAGAGACGAAAGATACAGAATAAACATTAAAAGTGTAGTGGTTGGGTGAAGTTGGATTTTGTATGGAGTTTGTAATGTTCAAAATGATGTATTCCTTATTGCTGCCACTAGGTGGCGTGTGTAAAGAATCTGGCCAGGTGTCAGTTTGAACTACAGCCCCCCCCCCTGTCTGGGAGGGGCCGTAAGGTGGCGTGAGAGGATGTTGGAGGATATATATGGAGCTGACACTCTTTGTCCACGTGCATCGTGCCTGGACAGAGTGATGGAAAAAGAACAAGTGCTGCAATCTGTCACGCCCCCCCCCCCCCCCTATAACCAACCCACCCCCCCCCCCCCCCGGAAAAAACTGGTAAATGGTACAAGCCCACTAATACAGCGCAGCGACGCCGGATTTGCCAGGAAATAAAAAAATCGTCCGTTCGAACCGTCTCTACATGCTCTGAATCGTGTATGCGGGTCGCGCATGCGTCAGCGTTGAAAGCCGAATACAAAAATAACGAAAACTGAAAAGTAACTAAAAACAAGCCAAATACAAAAAAAACGTATATGTCCAGATCCGGTGAGGGGCCAGTGTTAACAATTAACCGTAATCAGCCATTTTATAAAAATGTATGCAATTACATGAAATGGGCCTTAAATGTTTACAATTGGTGAGGGTACAGGTATGGCAGATGGTCTAGACTCTAGAGTCCTTTATTACTTAAATAGTTTAATACTTAAGTAGCTTACGGTTGACTCAGATCCGCGATTGACTCAGGTTCTGTAGTAACTTACACATCCACAAGGAAGGCGAGAACTGTACTAAAATGAGTCACGTACAATAAATGATAGCCACCCAAAAATTCTTCGCTAGTGCCTGAATGCAAGTTTGTTCCATTTTGAGATGTGGGTTGGAGCTGGGAGGGGGGATCTAGGTTAATGAAAGTGACATTGAAAGGAGCGTTTGCGTATCAAGTTTCTCGGCTGGCTCGACTGATTGCCAAATGGTGCGTAAGATTTGACGGGACATTAGCGGGCAGGCTACTCTGCACCGGGCTTTTACCCAAAGTGTCCAAATCTGCCCCATTGTACATTTAGGGTGTTCATTCAAGCTGGTTTGAAGCTTCAGCAGTTGTCTAATGTGCCACAAAAGTAAAGTTCTTGATTAATCACCTTTATCTAAACTGTTATTCATTCACCTTAACAAACATGCACGTCAGGCGACATCTGGCAGGTTCGCACAATTTACTGGACGGTACCAATGTCTGTACCTTGGCTATCTGGCTAAGCACCGATGCTAACAGAAATAACCAACACGAAGCCAAACAGTTCCGAAACGATACTGTGGATTAGGTACGAGCCAAAGTCACTGGGTCACGGCTGAGTGAGACGAAACTACGATCTCAGAGACGTCTCAGGCAAACCGGCTTAACCTTGCAGAATCTGCTCACCTTTGTACAGAGTAACCTTTCGCACGGTTTGCGGAATAAAAGACACACTGCGCATGCACAAAATATTTCGCTTTTTTTTTTTTCATTTAGCGCACGTGACTTTTTTTTGCAGGCTTTTTCAGTCTTGACAAATGTGGGTCGGGTCAGAGCAGAAATACACCTCTTATGGAGATATGAAATTTTAGTGACAGTACACTTGGATCTTTAGAATTAGCTGAAACGAAAGAAAACGTAAGTACACTTTTAATTCGAATCCTGCGAGTCATCGTCGGGACTCCTTGCTTCACAGAAGGAAATGGGTATTTCAGTCCCACACCATTTGCTGCTGTCATCAGATCCAGTATCGTAGACCAGCTTGATTTATTTCATACCAGAGCCTATCTGGATAGATCCAGTTCCTTCTTGACCGTTACCATGACCCCCCTCCCTAAACCCTAAGAGGCCAGCCTTAGCCAATCAAAAACATTTATTTCCTGAATCTTATCCCTCTAGGACACGGGTGTCAAACTCCAGTCCTGGGGGGCCGGGGCCCTGCACATTTTTGGGTTTCCCCTCATTTAACACACCTGATTCAACTCCTTGTGCTAATTACCACACAGCTCTTGAGCTGAATCATTTGTGGTGGAACAGGGAAAGAACTAAGCTACACAGGGCTCCGGCCCCCCAGGACTGGAGTTTGACACCCCTGCTCTAGGAGGTAGACCTGCAGTGTTAAGGATCCCAGGGGATGAAATACTACGCTAAACTTTCTCTTAGTTGTAAAATGTTACTGATACAGAGACAAGGATAACTTACAAGGCATAGTGGAGCCCGAGCTGCTGAATTGTGGGAAATGAGAGGGACTGTAAGGTAAGGTGTTTCTCATGTGGGGAGCATGACACCGTCACATGGAGGAAAGGGGAAATGAGTACGATCTAATTGCGCTTCAGCTTTCTGCTATATTAAGGCCTGACTGTGTCGGAAATGTGGTCTCCATGGCTACAGGGAAACTAATTATCTACAGCAGTGTTTCGCAACCGGGTCCTCGTGGACCCCCAGATAGCCCATGATTTTGCGCCCTGTCAGATAGTCCGCATTTTTGCGGAGCAGGGAGGGAGCAAAAACATGGACTGTTTGGTAGGGACCTGGGAGGGAGCAAAAACATGGGCTGTTTGGTAGGGAGCTGGGAGGGAGCAAAAACATGGGCTGTTTGGTAGGGAGCTGGGAGGGAGCAAAAACATGGGCTGTCTGGCCGGGACCTGGGAGGGAGCAAAAACATGGACTGTTTGGCCGGGACCTGGGAGGGAGAAAAAACATGGGCTGTTTGGCCGGGACCTGGGAGGGAGAAAAAACATGGGCTGTTTGGCCGGGACCTGGGAGGGAGCAAAAACATGGACTGCCTCTTATTAGCAGGTTAAAGTGACAAACTGGTAGCTACCCAGTTCCTGAAGGTGTCCTGATATGCATGAAGTACGTATGCAATACATTCAGTGACCTGCTTGATTCAAGATAAGTTCTGCACTGTGGTGATTGAACGACAGTAAAGAGATAAACAGAGGCCTCATTGCGAAAGTCCCAGCAACAGAAAATGACACGTCAGGCTTTTCTCAGATTCTACCCAAGATCCTTTCTCCTCCCTTTGTTTTTGAGTAACATTCCTGTTTTCAGTTATTAAAAAGGGGCTGACAGATCCATCCATCCAGAGCTGAAGGTGAAACAAACCTGTAAAACAAGGGGACCATCTCCAAGCAACGGGTTACATTGCACAGCTTGGGGTTTCCTGTTGAACCGGTCAGATATCCGGACATTGTACCTTCTAACATTTTGCATATTTCATGGTGTAGGCACAGTCTAGCTTTTTTATTCATACCTATTTCTATGTTCTTAAATGATTATGGTATTATAATGTTATGGCCTTAATGCCAAGTACTTGGAAATGTAAAATGTACATAGAACTGTAGAATTTTATTAATATGACTCAATAGCAAAGATCTATTTGGATGAATATCAGTCCTGTTTAATGTTTCACGTTGATGATGTGAGATGATTATGCTGGTGACTAGTCAGACCAGGTAGAACAGTAACTCACCCATTCCAGGTTGGTTTGCCCATCCTAGGAGTAAACTTAACTAGGTGGGTTGACACCACCTCACTGCCCATTTTCTTTACAGGTACATCACCCGTGAGGGACAGAATATCTCCACTGGCACTGCAAATAGTGTAAAGGACAGAATCAGATAGCTCTCTGTTTTTCCAAGAATTCTGTGAACATGTTTCTCCAGTGAACTGGACCATCAGCGCCTGTGAGGATGAGCAGTGTCCATTCAGCTGCTGTTTATTCATACGTCACCAGATTCTACAGAGGTACAGCCATCTCTCGCAGATCTATTTTTAGAATTTTTTTGTTTGGTGAGCGGTTAACCAATAGATAGATCTACAGGATGTGAATATGGCCTTTACAAGCACATCTCTGGTCCCAGTCAAACAGAAAAAAGCACGAGTACAGAACAGTGTGTTTGCTCTGGTAGGGTTCCCATATCTCCAAAAGGTTCATGTTAGCACAGCAGACTGGAAAAACATTCAACTCCCATTTGTTTTATTGGCATCAGCTCTCCAGTGCAACTGAAAGCTGTCTGGGGTCTTTCTAGTGATAGATTCCATTGTTTCAGCCTGAAGCAATGAACCAGACCAGAGGCGCTTTCTTTGGGAGGAAGGAATTTATTTCCAGATGGTGCAATAGATGTTCTTACACACAGCCTTCTCCACCTTCTTTTCCAAACCTGTGTGTGATACCAGCCTCTTCACAGAGTCTAAGACAACACACCATGTTTGATCACAGCCAAGCAGGAGCCTTGAGATAAAAGGGCAGGAACCAGATGTTAATGAAGGACTTGATCCTTGATCATCCTACCTTGTGGCAGCCTGATTGCTCAGTATTTGTTAGCTGATTTGCATTGGATTGCACCTTAATTAAAGCAGTCATCATAATGCATTATAGATACCTTCATAATGCATTATAATGCATTCATAAAGTATTATAGACAATGCTATAACTATTTATAAAAAGGCATAACATTATAGCCATGTTTATTATACATAATGCTCTATGAAGCCTTTATAATGCATTATGAATGCTTTAGTGCATTATAATGGTCAGTATAAGACGTGTGTCCTGTGCTCCCAATTTATAATGACAACAGTGTGCATTAGTGTTTAAATACAGCTGTCCTCCATAGAGGGGTCGCTTGCAGCAGGATTTTAAAAAAATCACAGTTCGTTCACAAGAACACCACTTGTACTGTCCTTGCACCTTGTCTGTTTTGCACTAATTGTAAGTCCATCTGTTCTGTACATGCCGTGCGGATGTACACACAAGTAGATCCCCCAGGGATCAGTAAAATGTAGCTAATCCAGAAACGCTGCTCGTTTGTGTCAGAATGAATAGCTGGTGCCGTGAGTTAATGCTAATTCTCATCAAATGGGAAACAATTAAATAACCCATCAGCACATCTGGCACCATGTTCCTTACCACACAATAGCCTCGCCACTCTACCCCATATGAGCAAATTCAATTCAGACTCAGTTCAAAGGTTTTATTTGCCATTGTGTTACACACAAGACTATGCTAGTCACTTCCAAAGCCGATGCAATCAAAATGTGAAGTAAACGACTAGTGACAAACAATATATAAAAGAACTATTTATATATAAAACACAATACACATTGAGGTAGTCCATCCATCCATTTTCCAAACCGCTTATCCTTCTGGGTCGCGGGGGGTCTGGAGCCTATCCCAGAAGCTACGGGCACGAGGCAGGGAACAACCCAGGATAGGGGGCCAGCCCATCGCAGTCGAGGTAGTCCAGTCTGTCATATTAATGGTTTCCTATTGGCTATTTAAATTTTAAGAGTGGATTATAAATAAACTAATAAATGCTGGTTTTCAGTAACCTGTCATGTAAAGCAAACGTCTGCACCAACAGGAAACCACTCCTGAAAACCTAGCAGAGAGGCCACCTCCCATAAACACCAGTGCCGGGTGTGCACTGCTCGGTACGTCTGGATGCTACACTGAAAAGGAACAAAAGAAAAACCAGAAAAAAACTATTTTGTAAGACAACAGGACTTCTAAGCTTCCTCTCATGCTGTCAGCTGTAACCTTAACTGACCCGTCTTAATAATGTCCCAGTTCCTATGACCCTCCACAGAACAGTCCCCACCCAACTGAGTCAGATCCCATTATGGCTCAGGGGAGGGGCCTGTCCTGGGAATGATTTATTTATTTATTTTTAATTCCTGGCGTCCAATCATAGCTGAGGCAGCGCTCCAGAGGTCCCCTCTATCCCCTCCTTAAGACGTGTTGCCAGGCAGGATTAGCAGACCCGGAGTGACGGTCCGGACGGAGTGAAATGGAAAATCCCAGCAAAGCAGTCAGCTGGGAAAAGAACATGAAAAGCCCGTTTAGAGACGTTCTGTCTTAATAAAGCACCGTTTTCACCGGTTTGTCCTGAAACATCACCATTACTGTTTTTTTACGAACACCAAGCTACGTAATATCAGAACTTAAACCGAGTTGATGTTTGTGCAGTATTTACGTTGAGGGTTCACTTATAGTTGATGTTTGTGCAGTATTTACGTTGAGGGTTCACTTATACCAGAATACCCTAGCGGCCAAAATTGTGGAAACACCTATAGCACTTTTGGCAAAACGCTTTAAAAATCACAACAGGAATATTGACGGTAATGATTGTAAACAATCAAAGAATGTTTACAAATATCATACACTGGGCGATTAAATAAGTAACAGTTGAATAAAGTGCTGCAATCTCTAAAAACTGGAAGTGTTTCCACAATTTAGGCCACTATTGCAAACCAAATCTAATCGCGACAATGTCTCACTGGCACAACATGAAGACGTCGCTGTCAGGGTGAAACCGCCAAACCCCGCGTCCTTCAGTTTTATAACGGCAGCTGGATCGTACAAAGTTTACTATGACTCGGATAAATACAGTTCAGCACGTCCTGCTACCATGACCCCGCGTAGCCTGGAAGATGAATGAGTTCTTTCCATCCAAAAGGCGCCAGAGTTTCATTTAAAGGAAAACAACAGCATTTGCTGTACTCGTCGACAAATAAATACTATTCAGTTAAATTGTATTCTCCGACTTTTAATACACTGTAGCAAAGCTTGCTTTCCAAAGTGACTCATGACACACAAAAGTTGAATTTCTCGTGGTACGTTTTCTTTTTATTTGATCTAATGGACATATAACGTGTCAAGCACATAAAAAAACCAAACATCACTGTACAGCAATACACTCCGCCATTTATTGGAATCTGCCATACACAAATCTTAGGAACTTAAAAAAAAAGTCATTATAAACTTAAAGCCGGGATGTATAACAATAATTCATAAATCTCCCAGCATATAAAAAGTTTGATCAGAAAGAACCGGAACATCTTTCCAGGCACTGTAGGGTCATCTGCCATTCTGTAGCCCTAAAACAAGACGCCACACCAAAGGCAGGCTGAATTCATTTTATTCACATGAACGCAACACCCGGACGGTGAAAGGGAGATGATTAAATGTACCCAAAGCTGTTTGTCCAGTAGAATATGTAATATTTTGTTTTGGTCACAGATAACATGCTGTTGAGTTCTGTGGATAAATACAGAGGCACCACCGCCACCTAACGCCTGCCTCGAACCCGGCATCACGAGGGGGGTGGACTCCCAGCCTCGGCCTTCCCGGGCTCCCCCGAGTCGCTCGGCCGCCGCTTGGTCGCCATCTCCTTGGCGATGCATGTCACCTGGCCGTTGGTCACACTGAACGTCCCCACCCTGCAAGTCAAAAGAGAATGGAAGACCTTCTCAGCTTGAATCCATCGCAAAGGAACCCATCTGTGTTGCACAGATGTCCATAGTTCACCATTTAACATTCTAGAACGTTCTGATCTATAACCTGGGTGCATGGCACTTTGTAAGACACTAGATCAGGGGTCTCCAACTCCGGTCCTGGAGAGCTACTATCCAGTAGGTTTTCTGTGTCACTTGGCTTCTGATGAGCCACAGCTGTTCCTGTTATTTACCTGAGAACAGGTGTGGCTCATCAGAAGCCGGGTAGGATAGAATACCTACTGGACGGTAGCTCTCCAGGACCGGAGTTGGAGACCCCTGCACTAGATTATTTGGATGATAACAGATTGGAACTCATCTCCTGGTCCTTAGACATGCATCCCCAAAGCACACAAGGAGGATTTTGGGAGTTATAGGCAGAGCTGCAGTAAGCTTACAGACCATCCCATGGAGGTCTCAATAAAATGGGGATGCAACAACACGAGCAGTGAAGCCCCCTAGGACATGTAGTCCAGTAGGCCACACTCACTTCTGCTGAGCTTCAGTCAAAGTGGAGGTGCCTGGCTGGTTCTGCTTCCCAAAGAAGAAACTGGACCACCAGTGACCAGAGTCTTGCTTGGGCAGACCTACAAGCAGGGACAGTAGAACGACGGGGGTGCAAAAATACCACAACTGCATCTTAAACTTTAAGCACAGAGGGCCCAAACCACACTCTTGAGCTCACATTAAAGCGAGCACCTTCAAACGCAAATCTATCTACATGTAAACACCGAGCTGAAAAGGTGTGTTTGGACACTGAGACCTCTGGCGTTTGCATTTCATGGTTAAATGTTTAAGTTTAAGTCAACACAGGGCCAATTTTATGACCAGTTTGCATCAGGGACCAAAAATTCTACTTCTGAATACAAAACGGAGGAGCCAGTCTTACCTGGATGGTGAGGAATCACCTCGCCCATGTACTCTGAGCTCCCACATGAACTGTTGCTGGAAGTAGAGCCCAGGCGCCCTGGAGCAGAAAACAGCATGATTTACCACCAGTGTTGGGGATGTTACTCACAAAAGTAATTTATTACAGACAGCCCACATCCAGAAAGTACAAATACAGACTAAGGCTTTGTTTCAACCAACCAGTTGAGCCTAAAGAGTTAGTCACAGAGTACTCAACTGGTTGGTTGAAACAAAACCTTAGTCTGAATTTGTGCTTCCTGGACGTGGTAATTTTTCATACAAGTTTAAATTTATAGCGAGCGCCCCGATACTCACTTCTGTAGTAGTCATGAGTGGCAACTAAAGAGCCGCTTGATGGGATCGCAGCCATCCTTCAGGCGTGTGATTGACAGAAATCCTTGTAGGGAAACAGACAGAGTTACGGAAGTGGACGCGGTGATGAAAAAGGATACAGGATCAGGCATTACGCAACGGCTACAGCCTCAGCGGACACGTTTTTCACGTGTAAGCGAGTGAAATCGCGGTATCGTTGTAATCTGGAACAGTTCCCTTTGCCCAGAGCGAAGACAACGTGTCCTTTGATGTGCTGTTTGGCACTATAACCATTTCTGTTGCCACATCTTTTAGAAAGCAGTTTCTAGCAAAAGTGTACAACTATTAATCTGCTTATACGAAATAAAACTTAAACCAACATTCGTACCTGTTGGAGACAAGTAAGATAATCATCATATGTTAATGTATCCGATTAGAAATATCTGTACACAGGGGTTTAAATATACAACTAGACAGCTGGAACTAAACTGTTATGCCTTTGGATAAAAAACTGTAATGGTCCCTTAAAAATGCGTTCAGCGTCTCTCCATTGAGAAAAGTAAAAACACAACTATGTGAGGCTGCATAGTCAGCTATTAAAAAGTCCGAAGTACTTTACAGAACTACAATGTATTAAACACGCATGCAAACAACCACAGCCGTTAAGGATGACCATAAAACAGCATAACTCAAACACGCAAATGCACTCACCGGGTACGTAAGGAGATCTGCGCCCAAGTTAAGTCAAACTCCTAAACGGCAAAGCTCAGGGGGCTAAACGTTAGGCGACGGGGGCCATTTAAACCGGGGGTGTCCCGTCTTCAGCACGTTCTGATGCGATCAGACCTTCTCAACTTCTGTTCTCTCTAGCGCTCAAGACAAGCCTCATTTATAGACCAGGGTAACGCCACCCAGTCTAAGGCGGAGCTCCGATCAACTCAAACCAAAGACTATATAGAGTGAAAGGAAGCTATTGCATTCAAGAACACATAGTGGTACTTGCTTGTCTTCCCTGGTGGTCTAGTGGTTAGGATTCGGCGCTCTCACCGCCGCGGCCCGGGTTCGATTCCCGGTCAGGGAATGCAACTTTTAGATAGTTTTACAATATAGTTTCAAATACACACGTATGTATGCCTTATTTAGCATATCTGTTTATTTGACATATATCTGTTTGTTTGCCTAAAGCGATGCACAACTGAGGATCAGGGAAAAGGGTGAAAAAAGCCCAAACCACGTGTTTAACGTTTTGAATGTCTACAGACTGATGTTTGCTTTTCGGCGCCATCTGACGGCCGTGTAGTTAATAATCTGAAAAGTTGGACCCCTTGTAAACCGGGAGGTATCTTGACACCGGCGAAAACCACACGAACGTTTCAGCAACCAGAAGATACAATTTCTCTGCAAGAATATAAAGTTGATTGCTAAACCTGAAAAATATTTCAGGACCAGGACCCACATTGTCTGAAAGGGGACTTGCGTGCCGGAATAGCTCAGTTGGGAGAGCGTTAGACTGAAGATCTAAAGGTCCCTGGTTCGATCCCGGGTTCCGGCAGCAACAAAATCGACAGCATCATGTTGTGGTTCGATGGTAGTGCTGGTTCCATGGTGTAATGGTTAGCACTCTGGACTCTGAATCCAGCGATCCGAGTTCAAATCTCGGTGGAACCTGCTTTTTCAAACTCGGGAGCAGCTTCTCTCCAGCAGAAACCACCCCAACAGCTGATCAGTTTGTTAGAAATGCGCAAAATATCTCTACTGTTTTCATTCAATTTTGTCACTTAACTCTACAAATTACATTTGAGTTCTTAAGGATACTCATTAAATAGCATGTATCTACTGCTGTATGCTGTACTGTTGCACATTTGATAAATTATGATTCGACTTATAACATATTGATGTCTTAACCCCACCTGGTGGTGCTCCTGGGGATTGACTCCAGGTACACCACAGTACTTCAGGTTCTAATAGAAAACGGAGGGATGGAGGAACGTTGCTTTTCTAAAGGTCAGGTGAATGAATGATGTTAAAACGCAGGTATGACATTTGGTGACCGGAGGTATAGTCAGTGTTTCGTGACACGCTCACTCCTGCTGATATAATTACAGCTTCAGAATGAACACCACTTAGGAAGGAAAGCACAGAGTATGAATAATATGGTTAATAATGTATGTAAGAGGCCATCCGGATTAAGGGTCAAACCTCACCTGAGGGGGAAAAAAAATAGGCCAAAAGGTGTCATGATTCAACCTATATTTAATAATGAAAGATTAAAAAAAAAAAAAAACCTTAAAGAGCATTTAGTGTTTACATCTCATACATAAAACTTGTCATTGAAAAGAAGAATTGCACACATTACGTAGAGCTTAAACAAATGCTTTAATGATATTCTTATGAGTGATGTAACGTGACAGCCATTTCGGAATTCCAGCCATTTCCTATCCCGAAAAAAAAATCTGGATGCCATTCATTCCTACAGCCACCATCAACCTAATGAAGCTCCTATTTCATTATTGCACCTATGTGGGCTAGTATATAAATTGTCATTTGGTACAGGTTCACTGTTAGCATAGTGTAGTGTGTTTACACCTTCATCACATTGGCAGCTTGATGCCAAGCAAGTTAAATGGGCCTCTTTTATCTCAGTGGCACAAAAGCTCTCAAACATGCAAAAGTAACAAACGGATTACAAAATTACTGGCGGCAAGGTTGTTCCCCCCCCCGAATGGCTGCTTCACGCAAATCTCCCAAAAATAAAACAAAATGAAACAACTGAACTAGACACCCAAGAGACCAAGACATCAAAATCAGAACCTTAACTAGTGATGGTCAAATGAAGCTTCATGAGCCATTTTCTGAATTTTTTGGCCTCACTGGGAAGGTGCTTTTGGTTTGCTTTGGGGCATGAATTGAGCACTTTTTTTTTTTCTTTTTTTTTAAATCGAGAGCACCATCTAGTGGTGTCAGAAAACACAGCAATTGGTTCATGAAGCTTCAATTGGCTATCACTAACCTTAACCCAAACCAGACATTACATTCAAAGTAAAGACAACATACTAGCCAGCAGAGGGAGCTCTGCACGCTTTCCACCAGAAAGAGCGTCAGTCGGCAAAGTCGGTTCCGCCGGAATGCGAACCGCTTCCCCACAGCAGACGCACGAGCAGAACGGTGTAACTGTAACAGCTTCCTCCACCTTAAAGCTACTGATTAGCATATGGCACAAAGCTAACGCCTACCCCTATAGTAGCATGCCTAAGCCACGCCCTCTTACTTTCTCCAGAAACTCTCAAAGCAGCACTGCCCTCCGGAAGCAAAGTGGAACTGCGCAAGGCTGCTGGAGTGATGTCACTGTGCTATGGCCGGCTGCAGAGGGCCGTTTCACAAGGTAACCAGGGATGAACAAAAGAAAAATAAAGAAAAAAAAACAATAAATCACAAGATGAAGATGCAAATGTTTCAAGTTACAAAAATGGAGAGGAATTCCTATATTAATATTTCTAAATATATATATATATACTTTTAAGTTTAAATTTCTTCGGTAAATCTCAGCCCCCCAACTCCCAACGAACACCAGCCGGCAGAACTTTGGAAATAGTCATTTTATATATAGATCTACAGATAAAAGTTATGTAAAAACATTACGCAAAGCAGTGTAAAATAGTTCATATTACAAAACGGTTAAATATATCTCTTCTTATTTGTTTTTTGTTTTTTTACAACCGGCGGAGATGTGACAATGTACCCCTGTGTTTTACAGTGAGATGAGATCTGCCCATGCTTGTAGTAGGTTGGGG